ATCGTTCTGCATATTTATTCCATAAACCGAATTATAATTAGTATTTTGAAAATTCCCAAAGCAACAATTAGGTTGATTTGGGTGATAACTATTCTAACCACCCATATTTCCATTCTATACTTAATTAACATCCTATTGAATTGGTTGTATTAATGTCTGGTTATTGAACTATTGTTGCCTTTGTAAATGCCAGTAGTTTTGGATAGGGTACTTTCCTCCACAAAATATACATTGAACACCTGTTTATCTGAGTGATGGACATTTTGTATCAAAATAACCTTGTTCCTTACTATTATTACATCATACATTAGGTCTCATATTAAAAGGCTTATGTTGTTTCTCTTTATTTGTAGCCAAATTCATGGCGAATTCTTCGATCTTCTTTATTAAATTTAATAACAAGGCTTCATTTGGATCTTTAACAATCACATTTGTGAACAACTTCAATTGTTGATAAGTTGGCGATGTAAAATAAGATGTCATTGTTATTGGCGCTATTGCTTAGAGTGGGGTAGCATTAATTGGTTTTTGTAACATAACATTCTTCACATTGGAGGCAGGCATTTGTGAATAATTACCCATCAACACATTTCCCGGTTGTATTTGTTGGCTTCCTGAACTTGAAATCATCGTGGCCCCTACTGTTAATAATTAATCATAATGACATTCTTTCCATACCTTTGCTCATACCAATGATGTCTCTACCGTAGCTGGTCGAGCCTCTTTTACAAACATTTTTAATTATGATAGATGCAAACCGTTAATTAATATCGACAATATAAATGGATCTGGTATTTGATTATTTGGCCATTTTTGAAGTATATCCACGACCCGGCCATAATAGGACTCTATTAATTCCCCCGCAAATATCTTGCTATTCATAAAACTTTCTCTAAGCCAATCTTCAAATCCAATTGGTCTAAACTGGGTTAAGAAGGCATTCCTCAAGGCCTCCCAATTGAAAAATCTATCCATTGGTTGCCAATTATAACATTCAAAAGCTGTATCTTTTAAAGTTATTGGCAACGATCTCAATCAAATGTCTTGAGTTCTACCATTATTAGCCACGTAGACTGTCAAGAATTGACATATATGGTGATCAGAATCAAAGTCTGGCCAACCACTAAAAGTAGGTAATGATGCCACACTTATAGTGCGGTCTCCTATTGCTCCTATTTGTACCGCAATTGGTACTTCTGGCACTTCCGTGGCCATTGGTGTTATCACCGGTCTACTTGCTGTTTGAATTTTTCTTCCTTTGGTTTTACTTGGACCTAAAATTCGTTATCACCGGTCTATTTGCTGTTTGAATTTTTCTTCCTTTGGTTTTACTTGGACCTAAAATTCTTTTTTGTCGTTTTTGTAGGAGATTTCTTATGCGTAATCGCTCCTATCTTTCTTTTGCTTGTCAATTAATTCTTTGATAATCCTTCCTTTCATGATTATCATTCATAATCTTTCATTCTTCTTTACAAAATCAATACTGCCTTGAATTATAACTCACATATTTATAATCCTAAAATTGGTTCTTTTCACATTCACATTCAATATATAATTCCATCTCCCATACAATCAATTTCTAACATTTCATATTATTATCATTTCCTTGGCAGCGACACCAAAATGTTGTTCTCGTTGTGTTCAAGGTTCAATATACCAAAACAATTGAACTAATAGAGGTAGATTTGAACACGAGAAAAGACTGGTTATATGAATTGGGTCTGTTAGTGTCACAATTGACTGTACTCTAGCTATCTGAAATTAATTATCAAATTAAAAAACACCAAGGCTTACTACTTCCGTCTTAATTGAACACATAATCCATTCTATGACTATCAATTCAACAATACTTCCATATTCTTATCAGTTCATCTCCCACTTACTCTCTTTGCAGTTTATATATATTCAATTACTGATCTCCAACTTACTTATTATATTCAATTTCTCAATTCAACACATAGAATTCAATATCTTCACTTAACACAACACAATTCAATAATCTCAATTCTCAAGGTCACAGATTTTCTCCAAAACAATTAGTCCAAAGTCATATTCCACAATACTCTAATCATAGTTTCAAGAATACTTCTCTCAATCACAATTCTTCATAAGCAAATAATAAAAGCAAAGTAAACAAAGAGGTAGCACCAAGCTTACTCTGGCTTATGATCCTCAGAGTGTGGCCCTCATAAATCAATCTCTGATTTATTCCACACACTCAATTCTCAGTATTCAGAAACTATCCATTACTCTTCAACAACAAAGAAACAAAAAGAGGTAGTACCAAGCTTATCCCGGCTTACGACTCTCACAGTCTAGCCCCGATCTCTCTTTTCTCAACCTCTTTATCCTACCAAAAGATGGACCGTCGGCCAGCAGATTCCAAAGGTTATGATCCTTTGAATTCTTAACCATTTGTTCCACTAACAACCTATTGTTACCAACTAAACTACCTAACCATAAGTCTAATTTTCAAGGTTGTCAATAACCAACTAGTAACTTACCACAAAATTTATTTATATATTCTATAAGTACCAAGAATATTCAAAACGTGATAAAAATATTCTAAAAATCCTATATATCCTTAAAGAGAATTTTTTCCAAACTGCAACAGCTCATATCTCACAATCAAACTATCCAAAAAAACTCAAATTTTACATAAAGTACTGATAGACTTCAAAAAACTATCAAAAAAAAATTCAACTACAAATTCATTACAAATCTTAAAATATTGCCAAAATCTTAACAATAGCTTCATATCCTTATTTACATATACTCGCATGCAACTTTCTTCATGTCTCACAAACTAATCACTTAAATACCACAAAAATTGGTATATAGCTTTTTAACCTAATAATTTCTACTTTTAAAATTTTTGATCCAAAAATTCGTCCAAAAACTCAAGATATGGCTTCAACCATTACTATCAATAAAACAATTTACTTACTACCTTTGAATTACTTGTATTGTCTTCAATTCCTTATGATTCCTTCAAATAAACTTCAAATACAACAATTCTTTCATGAAAGATGTAGGTCTAAAAATTGTCCTTGTAGGCACATCTTTTAATCTCCAAAAGCTACCGTATAATTCCTCATATCCTCAAAAGAGTATCAATATGTCTTAAAAGACCCCTCAACTTCAAGCGGCTATAACTTCTTCATCCTAACTCCAAATCCTCTAAATTCTATGTGCAAATTGTAATCCAAATCCTAAAGTTTACAATCTTTGCTTTTGATTCTTGAATGTCCCTTTTGAAGTCTCCAAAACCCTTATTATGGTCATAGACAGCCTACTAAAAGTCTATTGTTTACAACATTTGACCAATAGAAATGAAGACCTTCACTTCTTTCTTTCATCCGTCCATACCTTGCTTTCATCCCTCCAAATAAGCTTCTTAGTAGTTTGGATCTTCACTTTTGAGCTCCATTTTTTTCTTAAACCTTTACACTAAATATCTAAATCCTATATAATTTAAACACTACAATCAAAATAAATAAACTTCAGAATAAATTTTCTTACATCAATTCTCTATAAATTAACCTACTAACCACTCCAATACTCATCAAGACTTATAAACATATTATATGTTTTAATTAATTTTTACATACTATAAACAATTATAATACAACAATGAGGAATATAGAACAAAGAAAGAAAATGGAAGACGAAGACATAGAATAAATAGAATCAATCATGAGATGGCAAAAAAAATGTGGCTTTAACAACTTTTTAAATTTTTATACAAGTCATATAGAAACAAATAATTAAATTAATTATATACAAAAAGTTTTGAATTAATATCTTTATTGCAGAATATTCTTTTAATAAAATGATTGCAAAAAAATTATGCAATATGTAAATTTTGCTTATAATAATACGCATTTATCAACAAAAAATAAAATAAAATAAAATCCATCCTTTGAATAATAAACATCTTTAAAGTATATTTTATTAAATAAAATAAAATATAATAAATTCTTAAACAATTTATGGTTTTTTATTTTTATTTTCTAGTATATGTTTTAAATTTATTTTTTTATTTTTAAAATTTTGAATATTTGATGTAAAAACAAACATGTTAGCTTGGTATAATTTACTAATAGAAGAAACATGCAACAAAATTCAAATATACTTAGTCATATATTTAAAATCTTCATATAAAAATTATTTATGTATTTAAATAATGCCATGTTTTATTATTTTTAGTCGCTAATGATAGTAGTATAAAAATTGTAAAGTTTTAAGTTTTAATCTTCAATATATATTTATCATCAAAATAAAGGGGTCTTGAAGTTATAATTTTTGTCTTATATTTTTTTTATATAATTAATTAATTGAACAAAAATAAGAAAAAAGTAATCAATGTTTTTTAATATGTGGATAGTAATAAATTAATATAGATATTTACAAGTATCACTCTCAAAAATACCTCAAACACAATATTACTTTAATCAACAGTTCAAAGCAACAACATAACGAATGATATCATATTTTAACCTCTGAAACCTTACATACTTTTTAAAGTGTTGTATTGTGCCATAATAAGATTTTAAAAATGTCATTACCAAAAAGTCATCTTTCCTCTTACTGTTTTGTAGAACTTGTGTATCAAGCAAAAGTAAAATTCAAATTCTTGGAATCAATACTAGACAATAGGAGATTATAATTCAAAATAAAAATTTACTTGAGGGATTCGGCAAGGGTAAATTGTTAAAATACAGAGTACTGATCTGCACGCCCACCACCGCTGATCATTTACTCAACAGGAAAGACCAAGGCTGACAATCAACTGTAAACTCTGCGACCACAATGGCGTTCTTCCAGATTTTTATAAACCTTTTCAATAGAAATGCAAGGCACCACTAATTCTACATTTCAGGAGACAAAACGATCCACTAGTGACCCATTTCGACTTAACAATCCCACGAGGGCAGGATATGTAACCTTCAAGGTCAGACTGGCAATGCCGGAGCTCCAAATTCACAAGTACACATTCGTTGTAAAATAACTGGAGAAAATCAACTCCAAAAGAGAGCTTTTATGCATGAGCAGAATGCACTGGGACTTACATTCACGAGTTCGACGAAGGCAGATTTCCTTTTCTTGCAACCTTCTTGATGCTAGATAGTCAAGCCTCAAAGTCTAGGATTCTACCGCACAATTTTATCCTCCTTGAATCTGAAATTGAGGTGAACTCAGAGATCTCTAGAGGACGTAAACTAGCGTGGTAGATTCTATAAAGGCTGTCAAACAGTGGAAAACAAAAAAAACCTAGCTACAACGTCCAAACCAAAAAACCAATTGGTAGGAACATGCAGTCAGCTCCACATCTGGCTAGGCCGAATTTCTGATCGGATATAAACGTGCTGAACTATTCAAGCTTCATATGAAAAATGGCAAACAGCCATCGACCTACTTGAGGCAGTATCCTCACCAATCTCGACCAGTGGCGCTTTTCACGACATCAGACATGATACCCTAACATACTCTGCACGCTAATCAATCTAAAAACTCCTAACTCAATGTCACCTCCAAAGTGGTTCCATATTCATTACGAAGTTCATCTACCGACAACACCCAGGCCATGCATCAGGTCTTCAAGCAGCCGATTATCACCTCAATTATCTTCGACCCGAGAGTGAAAGATAAAACTTGGAAATGTCGTGGTAATATCCCTGAGGTAGGGCAGTGTCATATTCTTCAGAAGTGATGGATGCTGCTGAACAAGAGTATGCCACTCTTCTTTGTCGATCTTGCCATCCATTTTAGTGTCAGCTTCAGCGAAAGTCTTGTTGATGATGTCCTCAATAACATCATCCGTAAGATTCAGACCGGACTCAGCTAGCGTCGCGACCACCATACGCTTCACTTCAGCACGCTCGATGAAGCCCTGGTGCTGCAGATCGTAGAGCCGGAAGGCGAAGTCAATCTTATCTTCCACATTCGCATTCGGGTGGAACACGGACAGAGCGCGTGCAAACTCTGAGAACTCCAGGTAGCCCTTCTGCTTCTCATCGAATAGGTTGAAAACTCGGTCAGAGAAGAGACTTTCACCCTTGTTACTCTGCTTAAACAGCGCCAACTGAAATTCCTCCTTGTTAACAACACCATCATACACCCCAACACTAGAGATGTTTTTGAAAAGCTCGTACAGCGCCTCCACCTCACTCACGCTGAACGCAGTGTTGCGCGCAACGGCTTCGGGGTCGGCCAGGGTATGGGAATTGTGCTCCAAGCTTTTGGACCCATAGCAACCCATGGAACAGCACAACACATGATCATGCGACGCCCTCCAAGAAGGAGTGATAGGGAAGAGACACAAGACCACTTCACACCGTCGATAAGACAATAACGAGGGCAGCAGTAGCACCACCAGGGGCGAAGAGGTGGAGCAAGGGCGCCATAGCGAGATAACTCCGGCACGACCCGGCGTCAGGAAAGAGGAGAGGAAAGGAGAGGGAACAGCAGGAGCGGGGAAGAGTCAAAGCACATCAGAGGAGGAGACAGGGAAAGTGGGGAAAGGGAGCAATAGGAGCTGTGGGCGCTGCCGCATGACAGCCGCGAAGATAGCGACAGGCATCGCAAAGGGAGAGTAATGGGGGGGAGTAGCAGCGGAAGAGGCACCTGAGAGGAGGGTTAGGAAAGGGGAAGAGTTGGGGGGAGAGGACATAAGTGGGGGAGGGGAACAGCACATGCAAACGTCAACTGACGAGTGGACTGCCTCAATGAGCAGGAGGTGGAAGGGGAAAACGAGTGGAAGGAAGGATGGAGAGAACGGGCACCCGAGAGAAAGAGCCACTGACGGAAGGAATGGAGAGGAAAGAAGGAAATAGTGATGCCGATGAGGTGCCACGGGAGCTGCGGAAGAAGAAGGGGGGACGGGAGAGATTGACCACCACCCTTGCATCTTATTATTATTATTATTATTATTTCTCCACAATGTCGGTCCTTCTCTTTACTGCCGCACGTTGCTGTCAGGCACTGCACGAACCATCACTGCTCTTTTAGAGTTTTCTACCAAAAATGATCCTAGTCACTTTTTAGAAATCCTCGAAACTTACAGCCATGTCGAGAGCATAGGAAAAGGAAGATGTCAGACAGTCAGAGATGCAATATGTATATATATTTATATATATATATATATATATATTTTGTGAAGATAGTGTTTGCAGGGGTGATGTGGTGCCCAGCATAGAATTTACCCTGCAATACCCTGCTCTGCCTATCCTTCCCACAACTTCGGGTTTTGGGAGTTTCCATTCACGAGACTGCCTGTGACGTTGCTTCACTTTGAGCACCTTTCACTTCTTAGAACACCCAATAAAAAAATGATAATTTGCCTTAAAATAATCTAAAAATTGTACCACCAAGTTTTCCTTGGATTTGAACCAAATTGGGTTTAGATTGGGATCAAATCACACTGCATTCCAAAGCCACATCATGGCTTTGTATTATATAGCGACTTTATATTGCGGTGCTTTCATGGCTTTGTATTACATAGCGACTTTGTATCACGGTGCTTTGTAGCATGACCTCTTGTCACCAACACTTGGGGGTTGTCTCTTGGTGATATTGGTGTCATATTAAATATATTCTTGTTTGAGAATGCACTTGGCACCTAATTGTGGAAGATAAATAACAATGCAACAAAAATTCCACCAAGTTTAATAGAGCCTTAAATAAATTTAAGTAATTCCTAATAACCTAATCAAACTTTAATCTATTGAAATAAATTTAAAAGAAGTTACAAAAGAAACAAAAAGAATCCTTTTAAAATATAAAAAATAAATTTTTTAATATAATCCTAATTGAAATCCTAATTGAATCTTAACCAAACTCTAGATCAAATCCTAATGGAAATCCTAATTGAATCTTAATCAAATCCTAAGTCAAATCCTAATGAAACCCTAATTACATCTTAACCAAATCATGGATCAAATCTTAATGAAATCCTAATGAATCCCAAAATTCTAAACAAACTCTAGACAAGTTCTAAACCAAATCCTAAGCAAATCCTTATCCTAAACAAATCCTAGATCAAATCCTAAACAAAATCCTAATCAAATCCTTATCCTAATCAAATCCTAGATCAAATCCTAAACCAAATCCTAATCAAATCCTAGATCTTAAACAAACTCTTAACAAATCCTATAACAAAATAGAACTTCAACAACTAATAATCAAATTATTAATATCAACTCAAAATTTTCATACTTCTTAATGTCTTAATAAAGAACAAGCATAAGAAAGATGAAATCAATCATACTTATCAATTGGAAGAAATGCAAGAAAATCCAATCAAGTATGAGACAACCTTCTATTTCAATCTAAATGCTGAATTTCCACTGCTAATATTGCCTTCTTGAATTATTGATTTACTCTTAAATTTCACCTAAAATATTAAAAATAAAATCTAATATCTATAGGAAAAGAAATCTCTTCAATTTAATAGATAGATCACTAAAGATCTTGAAAATATTCATTAACCTTCAAACTCCAATTTCTGAGACATCAATCCACAAAAATTTTCACACACTTTAATCTAACTATTTGATTGACTTCAAAGTTTGTACACATATTTACAACTAGCACATCAATCTATTTGTTAGGGACATAGTCCTTAGAACCTTCTAGAAACAAGTTTCTAGAACCTTCTAGAAGCAAGTCTCTGGAACCTTCTAGAAGCTTCTTAGTTGGTAGAAGATGTTAGGGACATAGTCCTTAGAACCTTCTAGAAGCAAGTCTCTGGAACCTTCTAGAAGCTTCTTAGTTAGTAGAAGTTGCTTGAGAAGCTTCCTAAATAGGAGTATATATTGGAATCGAGGCTGAAGAGTTCTTCAGTCTCGACAACACATCTCTTGGAGCTCTAGCTCGCCTCTCTGGTGTTGTTCTTGTATTCATCTGATTAATCTAGTTCTTGCCAATTCTTCTTGAACTTCTTGTTAGATCTCGAGCATGTATTTCTAAGTCCGTGACAGTTTGTCAAGACTTCACTCACCTCAGATACTAGAGCTAGTTTCTTCTTTGTTAGAGTGTGGATTACTCCTCTGCTTGGAAGTGTACTAGCATTTGAGACGTTGCGGATTACCCTCCTCTAAACTGATACTTCTTTTGTTACAATATTGGAGTCTTATTCTTCTTGGAGAAAGTGGATTACCCCTTTTCTTGAAGTTCTTAAGGCATTTTAGAGGTTGCGGAGTATCCTCCTCTAAACCAATATTGTCTTCTTGTAGAATCATTTTTGTTCTTCTCTTAGAATGGTCGGGGGCCAAGATATTAGTATGACGAAAAGTTCGAAGTCCAAGTTGGATGCTATCATGAATGTCCTCGCTACGTTATTGCAAAGAACTACAGAGATTTAAAGAGTTGTAGCAAGGCTTCATAATGATGGAGCATCTGGGATGGCACAATTTAGGTTACACTAACTTCAAACTTCTGCACTTGGAGAAGCAACTTTGCCTCAGGTTCGACAAGCACCGTTGGTTCTACAATATAAGGAGCCCCAAGTTAGCCTTTCGGACAAGTTTGATGGTACGCATTCCAAGTTTCGAGGATTCGTCAACCAAATCAAGTTGATAATAGTTTTACAGCCTAAACGCTATCCAACAGAGGAGTCATGTATTGGGCTTGTTGGAACCTTATTTACAAGACAAGCTCTATCATGGTTTGCTCCTTTGTTTGAGAAACGATCATCCATACTAAACAACTTTGAAACCTTTTTGGAGGCATTTGTGAAAGCATTTGGTGAACACGACAAGGTTCGATGGGCTACAACAAAGATCCGGTCACTACGACAAGAGATGCACTCTACATCAGTCTATGCATCGGATTTCAGGCAATTAGCATGCGACATCAATTGGGACAAAGAAGCGTTGATGAGTCAATTCTATTGGGGTTTAAGGGACGATGTGAAGGATTTACTGTTAACTCTTCCTGATCTGCAAATGCTCAACGAAGCTATTAGCCAAGCTGTGAAGTGTGATAACCGCCTATTCCGACGCTACCAAGACCAACGTTCAAGACAACATATGGTTCGCCATGCCCCAACTATGTCGGCAAGCAGCGTGAATTTACATTCAGAGGTAGAAGACATGTAAATTGATGCAATACGTATCAAATCTACTCAACCTGCCCTTTGTTTTACAATCTCTTTGCTTATTGGCCCTCAGAAACTAAGAACCTTAGCATTATTAGATTTCGAAGCATCTGCTTGTTTCTTAGACAAAGAATTTGTGAAGCATCATAAGATCTCTTTAGTACAAAAATCCAAACCTGTTCACGTTGAGGTCATAGATGGACGACCTTTATTGTCTGGTAGTGTCACCCATGAATCAGAACCTATAGAAGTGACGTTTAAGGGCCATAGTAGTCATATTATTTTCAATATTATTAGAACCCCATCAAATCTTCTTATTCTTGATCTTTCCTGGTTGAAAAAGCATAACCCATCCATAGATTGGAAGTTGCGGAAGATGACCTTTCCCACAAAATCACCCAAGAGCAAGCCTAGTAGAAAACCCCAAATAGAGAAATCTTTATTTATTGGAGCAAGAGCGTCTATAAGATCGTCCAAGAAAGGCACACCGTTTGTCATTTATGCGGCTCCAACTACCGGGGAGAAGATCTCGACAGCAAGTATACCTGAGCAATATAAGGATTTTAAAGACGTGTTTCAAAAAAGAAAATGCTGACATGCTACCGGAATACAGACCATATGATTGCATCATAGACTTATAAGAAGGAGCACAACAACCTTTTGGCCCAATCTACAATCTATCGCAAATGAAGTTGGCGGAGTTGCGAAAGTACATCGACGAGAATCTAGCCAAGAACTTCATCCGTCATTCAAAATCGTCAGCTGGAGCACCCATCTTATTTATGAAGAAGAAAGATGGCTCATTGCAGATGTGCGTGGACTATCGAGGCCTCAACAAGATAACAAAGAAAAATCGTTACTCGTTACCCTTGATTTTTGGTCTCTTAGAATAATTTGGACATGCAAGGATCTTTACAAAAATTGATCTAAGGGGAGCTTACCACCTCGTACAAATCAAGGAAGGAGATGAGTGGAAGATAGCATTCCGTACAAGGTATGGCCATTTTGAGTATAATGTTATGCTCTTTGATCTTACCAATGCTCCAACGGTCTTTAAACATATGATGAATGACATTTTTTGAGAGTATCTTGACGATTTTGTTGTCATCTATTTGGATGTATTCTAATATTCTCCAAAAATGAGGAAGAGCATGAAAAATACGTTCATTCGGTCTTTGAGAAACTACACGAGCGAGGACTATATGCCAAATTAGAGAAGTGTTTATTTCACTAAATAGAGATGGAGTTTTTGGGGTTCATTGCGACTATGGAAGGCTTGAAGATGGACCCCAAGAAGGTGGAAGCAATCGTGTTCTGGGAGGTTCCGAAGACGGTGAGAGACGTATAATGCTTTCTTGGCTTTGCCAACTTCTATCGGATCTTCATCAAGAATTACTCTCAAGTTGTTGCTCCTCTCACTCGGTTGATATGCAAGGATAAGTTGGAATGGAGACCTCTAGCGGAGAAGGCGTTTCAAGACCTGAAGACCGCATTTACTATGGCTCGAATCTTGGTACATCCAGACTTTACAAAGGCCTTTTATTTAGAAACTGATGCTTCGGATTTTGTTTTGAGAGCTATACTTTCACAAATGGGAGA